CAGTAAAAATATAGCAAGGTACTAACAATTTCATATCATCTTTCTCTTTATGCATATTAAATAGCACACCACGATTAATTTAAAAAAAATCAATAAAGAATGTAAAAAAATAAATTAAAAATGACTTAAAATGTTTAAGCTTCCGGATAAAAGATGGCGCTAAATCGTCTGAATGTAATATTTTTTTGGATTAATCCTAATAAATATTTAAAACATTAGAACAATAACTCACGCCTGTAGCTCAGAGGGGTAGCCAAAGACCACAGACCCCCATTTGGGGATCTTAATACCACCCTTATATAAATAAAATTGAGTATTAAATAATGAAAATGTTTTACAACAGGAAATTGATAATTGATGTTGTTTAAATTAACTAGTATTAAACCAGTTTTACTCACGAGGAATTAATTTTGATATTACGACAAGTTGTTCAGACTACATCTACGGTAAAAAAAAATGCAAATCTTTATATCTTTATATATATAATTCTTCTGTGAGTGTGTATGTCACTGAACTTCTCTCAAACGACTGGACCGATTTTGATGAAATTTTTTGTGTGTGTTCAAGGGGGTCTGGGAATGGTTTAGATTCACAATTTTGTCCGCTGGACAATGTTTTTTTAATTAATTTTTAATTTATTAGTAGTTGTTGATTCTGGAATGTTTTACATTGGATCCGACAGACGGCGCTACCATCGCAGTGTCAAATTTTAAATAATATTCAAATTAAAGACGTGTAGACAGGACAACGTCTGTCGGGTCCGCTACTTATTTATAAAACTTCTAAATAAAATTGACTTTAAATCTTACAACCTAACTATTTCAGATATTAGGTAAATAAATTAAATGAAAACAGTTATAAAAATTAAAAAAAATCTTTTATTTTGTGGCTACTAAATATGTTAAAGTCCTTAAATTACCATGTGTCCTGATATAACAATTAACAATCTTTGTTTGGAACTAAACGTAACAAAGAATTCTCTTTGGAGTAAATCAAATGATTATTATTATCAAACGCCATTCCATACGCGTCTTGAATTTCAGCAACTATTTTAATTGATTTAGTGCTTTTATTCATCCTGTATATACCATCAGCAGCTAAAACAAACACTTTACCATTCCTATCTAAACTTATCTCACGAATTTCATCAACACTTTTTACTTCTTTATACAAAACTTCTTTTTCACCTTTATTTTTACCAAAGACACCAGAACTATTGCTGTAAATAATATAATCTTCATTATCTATAACAAAGAAGTAAACTTTGATACCTTCGAGTTCTTCGAAAGGTTTAGATTTACCATTTGAATACGTGTAAAGTGTTTGACTTATAAATTCAATGTAATATAAGATATTTTTATAAAATACATTCCAAGCGTTAATTCCGGGCACAATTAAATTTGCTTTGTTATTCTTTTCATTATATTTATATATGCCTTTATGACCACCGACATATACAACATGATTCTTTTGATCTACATCTAAAGAGAAACCGTTATTGACTTCTAAATTAGTGAATTTTCCATCTTTAAGATTAATTTTGGATGTTTTGTAAAATACATCTCCTGTTTGTTCGATATGTGTGAAATAGATGGCGCTTGTTTTGTAATCTACAGCCAGAGATGAAGGTTTGTAGATATCTGACTTCATTATTTGTTCTTTGTAATTTTTTCCATCGTATAATATTCCTTTGCAATCATCGCTAGAGGCAGCCTGTATCGCCGCGAGGCATAATATCAAGAATTTCAGCATCTGAAAATAAAGGAAATATTATATTTTAATTTATTTAATACTAGTTGTCGCCCGCGACTCCGTCCGCGTGGATATATAAAAAAATTAATTAGTGTAGCCCACCCATCCATCCATCCACATTACGTCCATCTAAACATTCGCATTTATAATATTAGTAAGTTAAATAAAAAGCAGCTCTTCAAGGCATAAATTCGAAAAAAAAATAATAAAAAATGAATAAATAGTATCCTATGTCTGTCATATCGGTAAAGCCGTTCTTGAGTTATAAATAGTGTAACTAACACGACTTTCTTTTATATATATATATATATATACATTGTCTTTACATAAATTTATATGACTTTAATGTAACTTTTTCGTTTTAGCATGATGAGTACGAAAATTTGGTTACAGTTTTTTTTAGACAGTCGTTTCTTAAATCTACAGTAATTACCTCTCTTAGTAGCTCCCTAAAAAATCTACGGGCGGGAATTAAATGTGTAAACTTTAGGTACAGCTAATAAAATTGAATAAGCGAGACTCCAAGAGACCATGATATCTTTCTCGCTTAAGGAGATCGTCCATCGGTACCAGAAATAGCTCGAATAGTTACGTTTCTCGCGTATCAAGTTCTCGCTCATATAGGTGTACATATGATTGTACATAGGTGTGTATATGATTGTCGATATGAAACCGTGATTAAGAAAGGTGTAACAACTGAGATGAAGGAAGATGATGTGGAGGACAAAAACCTGATACCCATATAGAGTGGGATAAGTATAAAGAGTAGATTATATTGTTAATAAACCTGAGTATAAAATGTGATTTATATAAAAATAACAAAAGTACAGCACAAGTGAAGACACAAAGACATGTCTTGTCATTTTCCTTGTACAACCGGTGTTGTGTACAAACTTACGTCTTACAGTTTTATGTTTGTCACCTTTTGTATTGAACAGTTTATGTACAAAACATTTTACTATTGATAAACGTTAAATGCAAATAAAAGCAGTTTTCCTCACAGTTTAAGATAACTTTCAGTTAAAATTTTTTTGGTAAATCTTGGAAAGAAAGTTATGTTTTTAAATAAAACAACACACTGTTAAAAATGAAGTTAAAATCACAATAAAAATAAATTCTAACTCTTCGAGTACAATATTTTTTCTATAAAAATTACGAAATAAAAAATAACACATTTCAGTGAAGGTTTAATCTTACAGAAGGAAAGTTTCATAATAATAATTCTATAATAATATAATATTGCGCTAATAAAATCAATATGCAACAAAAAGTATTGTTTTTAAGCTACATTTTATTAATTAAACTTATTTTATAATATAAATAAATATCTCACCGTGCAAGCAGAGCGTCTCCGAGCAATAACTGGTCACTCAGACAAGCTCTGTGTTAAATGCTACAAGTTTTACAATAACAGAGAAAGATATAGAGTCGAATTAGTGGTTAAATATTATGCACTCGCTTAGATTAAGCATAAGTGAATGTCAATAAACATTACTCAATTAGTTACGCATATTTTATTTTACTACGATGCTTGTGAATAAGATAATTCGTGATTTGTAAATTGAAGCTCTTTGTAATGTTACTTAATTATCTTTTATTGATTATCTTGAATGGATACATTAGCGACTGTCTTTTGATGCTCTGAAAAAGTTAATAAAATATTTACAAATATGACGTCTCTATAATTTCCTCTGTTCGTAAACTCATAACTCGTTCATAAAGCCACGTTTATATTGACGATAACGCGGGGATTATTTCTCACATTTGTTATCATTGACCTTAGACATTAAATTAATTAATAGACCATAAATATTAACTCTATGAACAGTTATAAAATCATACTATCAAATTTGTAATTTCAAATACTTAAAACTCGTATTCATTGTAATAATATATTTCCACGTAAAAAACCATTCTTCAAAAATGTTCAAAAACTTAGGGTCCTTCAAGAAGCGAGCTTATCACTATCTCAAAGGCCGGCAACGCATCTGCGGTTCCTCTGGTATTGCTGTTGTCCATGGTCGTCGTTGAACACCTCGGTGTTCCCGCTGCTCGTTTGCCCCCTACTGTTATAAAAAAAACCTTAACAAACCTTTCTAAAACTGAATCAAAAACTATGAGTTTCTCAGTAGAGAAAATTCATGGCTTATCATACTTTCAATTTAAAAGAAGACTTAGACCCATTCTCTCAGAAGACAGAAAATTTACTACTGCGTTGGTACACAAAGTTGGTACCTTGGTGTTTACCATTTGATAATTCGCAAGTCTATACCGACCCTAATATTTATGACATGTTAACTTTGCGTAGTATCGTAGGTAAACCTCGGGTGCATTTTGTTTTTCCCCGCGTGCATCATGGGATGAACATTTTCCTGTTTATATATACAGCCTTACTAAGTTCAAGGTTCGATTTCAGAGTACGGTATTGACTCTGCATCTACAAGTGCCATCTACCGGGCTGGTTATCAAGGTTATATTTATTTTTGGTATAATTGTCTTTTAATTTATTTATTAACTCGCCTGTTACTATGTCCGCGTAGAATTAAAAAAAAACTTAACTAATATCCCATGTGTTCTTCTAGACTATATTCTACTTCTAAGCCTTTAAGGCCGGACTACCCACTAAACTCCGCGATGTTCTTCTTCGCCCGACCGGACTGTGGTATCTACGTAGGTTATCCACGGCCCGGCTAGAGGGGAGCCCCTTGGTATGGGCTCGACTCGTGTAGGGAGGGGTCAGATGTTAAACCCCTTCCATTACACTATGATGATGCCCCCCCCCCTCAGAACATGAGAGGGGCCATCCGCCACAATCTACATCCAAGCGTTTAAGTGAGCTCATTGCAGCCGTTCTGGAGATACCTCCTAACAAACATCCATTCATCCAAACATTCGTATTTATAATATTAGTAAGTTTTTATTAATTGCATAATATAGCCCATCAATTGACATTACTTGACAAATTCTTTCTAGTATTTTAAAATCTCAATTTTATTACTAATATGATACAAAACAATAAAAGCAAATTATAAAAGTAATCAACATTTTATTTACTACTACTGTAACGTAACAAAATAAACAACACAAACTAACACATTGTTCCAAATCAAAACGTAAACTTTGCAAACGTACAAACATTTCATAATTATTTTTATAGCATACTAGCAGTTGCCCGCGACTTCGTTCACGCGGAATTAAAAACAAACGCTTTGTGTGAGCACATGCAACAAATATATGTATACTTAGGTGCAATCAAGCAATAATTAGGTTTTTTGTGTGATATTTTCTTGATTATGATTTGCATGTTTTTTATTTCTTAAATATGATCAGTATAAGCAACAGATTACGCTATATTTTTCTGGTTAATAAAAAAACATATAGATGTTTAGTTTTAAAGGTACGATTTTAGCAACTACTTTTAAACTGTGAGGAGCAATTTTTTGTGTTTTAATTTGGAACAACGTGTACATAAATACATAATACTATAGCACAGTATTACATAAATGGTATTCTCGACGCCTTGTTTTTACAATAGCAATATTTATTCAGATGTGGATGAGTTTTGCTGATGCAAGCAGGTTCATCTGCGTACCTGAGATTATTTTATCTATTAATAAAAATAATAATAAAAAATATGAGAAGCCATTGCTTTTCTGTTCACAACTTTTGCTATATCAATGAAAATATTGTCATAAGTTTCTTTAAAACTATAAAATATCTGAAACGGATAATTCACAGTGGGTTTCTGAGACAAACATCCCCGTTATACAAATTTTATTCTCAATAACCAATGGTTAATAATTTATAATTAACTCACGCTGTAATCCGCTGGATGTCACTGTCAGAGACAACAAACTGTCTCGTGTTGACATTGTATTTCATCGTGCCTTCAAACAAAGCGCGGCCCGGAGTCATTCTTATCTGAAATGCAATATAACCACGCTAGTTAAATACAGGTGTAGGCAGTTATTGCTAATTAGTTATTTCTAGTTTCAAATGGTCGTCTTATTTTTGTAAACTTCATCTCATACTTTTTGCAATAAATGTGTAAATTCCATTATTTCAAACACTTTTTAAACGAATTTTAATAATAAATTGTTTATAATTTTATATAACTTCTACTTAATTAAGTAAAACATTTCTACAATGATCACTTGTCTATCAAAGATACTTACTGTGGGTTTCTGAAACCAAAATATTGTGATCTCTTTTGTCAAAGATAATGACAGCGACGACAATATGTTTCATACAGACACTTTAATCTCAGAAACCAATTATTAGTCAACAAATTGTAATAAACTTACTTTCGCTTGATAATACTCGACGCTGGGTCTCGACTGCGATTTAAAAACATTTTTAATTTGTATTCAAGAGGAATTAAATTATAAATATATTTGAACAACATCACCTTGACATCAGCTTTGACATAAGTCTCATGTCGACCATTACATTCAATGCCTGATTTGAAACTGAGAACATCATCATTGTTGCTCAGTTTCATCACCCAGTCTATAAATGTCAGCTTTCTATCGACACATTTAGACCTGGAAATACATACCAGGGTTTTGTGAACCTAAAGATTCTCTGACGCATTATTGTAACGTCAAATTGAAAAATACTCAGTAAAGACGCAAAGACATGGACTAAAGCTAGTATCAAAAAGACTCATGATCTCTTAGTCATCAATAGCTCACTATACATCCCACTGAGGGGTTCAAAACCTACCCTAAGTTGGGGGTGACTAGGCCAACGCTGACCCAGTGAGGAATGACTTCACATATATCTTTCAATTTCTCAGATATGTGCATCACGATGTTTTTCTTCACCATAAGAACATCGGATAAACGTATATATGTAAACGCAAATTGAATAATAATTTGGTATAATACATATCGGAATTTGAACCCAGGATCTGCAGATTTCAAGTCAAATGCTTTAACCCTTGAGCAGCCGACGCTTGGTTCGTGTTAGCGCATGAAAATGTCCGTCACTGACCTGACTTCATATGTGACGTTGTTGACAAAGTGTGCGAGCGCGACTCCGGCCTCAGTGTAGAGCTTGTCTTCTGTCGACACCGGGTACCACTTGCTGCACACGCACCAGTGAGACAAGATCCCCGCCTTCCCACATGTACGTGACTGAGGGATCTAACAATAAAGACGGTAATCAGGACATCCTTGATAACATTCTTGAAGGGAACGGAACCAATATGTACTACAAAATGGAACTAAATATATTAAAACGGTAATTAACAATACCACAGATAAGTTGGAGCTCCATCAAATGACTTTTGAACTTCATTTCTTAGAAAATAATTTTACTTTTATTATATTATAAATCCGAAAGTTTAGATAGTTGGATGTTTGTTAGAAGATATCACCAGAACGGTTGAATTAATCGCACTGAAATTTGGCACATATGTAGAACATTCTGTTAGAACACATGGGCAACTACTCTTTCTCTTTCTCTCTCTATTTCTCTCTCTATTTTTCTATCTCTCTTTTTCTCTTTCTCTCTCTCTATCTCTCTCTATCTCTCTCTATCTCTTTTTCTCTTTCTCTCCCTCTCTCTGTATCTTAAGGTGCTTCTCCATTTAATGGAGGTTGATCGTCAGCTCAGTGAACCACCGATCTTGTGCGTATTAACTAAATCCAACAAACCGGTTCTAACAGACTCATCCCTCTCGGTATATCAGAGCCGAGTATGACATAATCATTGGCCAGTTGAGGCAGACCCATGGCGTGAACAACAGTCGTGTGAATGTCGAAGGGCGTGGTGAGAACACGCGCGTTGTTCCGCAGAGAGGTCAGAGTCTCTGGTCGCGTCTGTATCAACTTCTCAGGTAACATTATTGCCATCAATGGCAGACGTTCCTCTATCTTGCCTTGATATGTCTCTCGAAGTCCAGAGAATCTGGAATGAGAATTAATATTTGATCCTAACATTGATGAGGAGAAAAATACTGAGGTGTAAATGGAAAAACGCTTAGACGGTCCTAATCATTGAAAATCATCATCAATCGAAAAAAAGAGATTAAAGTTCACAAATAAAGCAGAAATCAGTACAATTCTGAAAAGGGCTTACGGGACAAAAAAAATAGTCGCTAGATAAGTTACTTGTAATTAACTGACCTAGATCCATGATCACCCATCACGATGAACAGATGGTTCTCCATCTTGCCGGAGTCTCGCATGTGCTCGATGAAGGCCACCAGGTCATCATCAGCGCTGGAGATCATGTTGAAGTCATCGTGCGAGATGTCCACTATGAAAGTGAAGCAGAAATGCTTCTGTGCTAGTGACGTCACCTAAGTAAATGACCAAAGGTAGTTGGCAGAATTAAAAAATTAAAGATAAAAAAACAAAAATCTGATCTAATTGTACCTCTATGACACTCACAAGAAGAATAAGAATCGAATGACACCTCAACATACAAAATCTCTTCAGTCTTTTAAGCTCTAGGCAGCAAAAAGGGAACTTACTCACGCACAAATCCATATACAAAAAATAGTAAATTGGGTAAAAAAACGCACACCTGTTTGCTCATATTCATGAGGAAACCATACTGAGGCGTGTCTCCGATGCAGTGCCTCTTGTTGATGCCGTTCCACCACTTGGCACCATACTTGGTCTCCTCCTGCAGGAACGCCTGCATATAGTGGTCAGCTGGCTGCGAGCTGAAGCCGTTGTAACGATACTGGAAAGTGCCGATCCAGGGAGAATCCTCAAAGAATGCGGTGCGATAGCTGAAATAAGTTAATCTGAGAAACTTAGCTGAAAAGAGTCTTTTTGTGAGTAATAATTAAGATTCAGATGTTTGAGTCAGGTCAGGTTGTAGGAGTGAATAATGGTCTAGTCTTCTATATCAGGAATGGAGAACCAATAGCATGAACAATATTTTGGGATCGCCGCTAATCATTAAATTCGTTTTGATTACGAAAAAGTGTAAAGTAGGAAAAATAATTGGTTTTTTAACAGCTTCATTGATTCGTGTCACTTACCCATATTTGGAGAGCATTTTGAAGATATAGTTCTCCGGGTCTACGGCCTTGCTGTTGGCGAAGCGTTTCCTCATCTCGGGCATGTCGAGCTCCGTCTTACCGGTCAGCAGTGGAATGATGGCGGCAGGCGTGCCGTCGCCTACGATGTTGTAACTGAAAAACAGATTAAAATATGTTTGAAGTGACTAGCGATCGCCGGTAACTTCGTCAGCATTAATTTAAAAAAGAAACTTATAATATAACCGAATGTATCAGCTACCTTCCCGTCCAAGTATCGTCCAATTTGGTCCAGCCGTTTATATTACCCGGAACATACGCGGCATTACAAACAGACATAGAGACAGACAACATTTTCTTTATTAGATACGCAAATATATCATATATACGATTTTTTTTCGTTAAACAGACACTCCAATTTTATTAATACATATGAATAAATGAATTATATTACCCGTGCATTATAACAGCGTCCATTTCCTGCAATGCCTTGTAACTGTGCGGCATTCTGCGTCTGAAGCCGTTGTGTGATGTCGAATCGAAGCAGAGGATCATCACGCTGATGTCGTCCTCGGGGGGCGAGGGGGATCCGGGGGGCGCGGGGGACGCGGAGTTTGCGCCGGGCGCGGCGGGTGAGGGGGGCGCGGGGGGCAGCTGCACCGGGCGCAGACCCGCCTTGTAGCCGTACCATCGCGTTGAGAATATATTGAACCTAAGACAAGCCGAAGTTTCATATTCAGTAAGCGTACTCTCTCTGTACTCTGTTCTCTCTCAGATTTATCCCACATCTAAATAGGGCGTTAGTATAGGGCGCGGTTGTGTGACCGCCCAGGGCGGATAGAAAAAGGTATCACAAATCTGCATACACAGTCTCACATAACTCAAAGGCATGATAAAAGGCTTACTTTCGCGCATAAATATCTTTTACTCATCTTTCATTCATCAAGATATATTTTCGTTTATTAATATAAAATGAATCCTTTTACCTATCAACCGGTGTACCAGAGCAGGACACTTTGACATGATCACTCGCGTTGAGGTAGTAATGTCTGTCACTTGACAGCCGCACCGGCTCACCGAGCTTGTAGTTATTGTCATCTATATATATAATATCCTTGTACACACAAACAACGTTGTTCATTGTCTTCAGTATGTCTGATTTCACGTAACATTTTGACATCTGTAAATAGCCTAAACTTTATTTCTTCCAAATTATAAAAACATTCAAATATGTACTGTCGAATCTGATGGATAAGAGTCCAAGTGACCTCTCTTACCGGTTAATCCCTTGTACAGGTCGTCCGTAATGTTAGGAAGAAAATCCGACACTGTCCCGGTATCGGCACAACACTAACTTTATTAAAACGTCAACGTTTATATCCCCTCACTAATCAATCTGTCACTTGACTAGGTTACGAAAAGCTCGCGATTCGCGCCAAAGGATTCTAACTAATAATGTCTATAAGTAAGGATCTAACAATGATTCATCTATAGATTGTTCTCTTTTCTCCAGATTCGGCTGTATTTAAAGGCATATAGTTATCGATATACAAACTTCACACTGCACCCAATCGCCGCTCTCGCATTTGATTTTTGGTATATCCTTGTTGAACTTCATCATCTCAGCAGCGAAGGGGTCTATAACTGGAAACTTACATCCGACCTCTGTCTCCTCTAAAATACTCTTTTGCAGCTTTTCTTCTACTTTACTAGAATTATAAACATAGGAGCTGTAATCTTTGGTCCAAATTTTATTCAAATTCGTTAAGCCATTCTTGAGTTACTTGGAAACAAACATCCATACATCTAAACTTGGGCATTTATCATATTAATAGCAAAGTAAACAAGTAGTTTAACGTTAAGTAATAATATAAAACACTGAACATTTAATGCTAAAAAAAAAACTAAATTATTTTTAGAACTATTTCCGTGTCGTGTGTCTTTAAATAGTCCTCTTGAACAATTTACTGATAGGAATAAATGTGTGTTATATCAAAATAAATTAAAGTTAACCAAAAAATTGAATAAAATAAAGAAATCAATGTAAAAATTATATTATTTAGTAGATTTCTTTCCATGGGCGCTTTTTATTGAATCTTATTTAGCAGTAGACAATAGACTTACTGGTACGAGGTGTGTCTGTCAGGTAAAGTCTGTGGCATTTCTCCGTAGTGTAGTAACAGAATAAGAGATGTTATAGAAAATAACGCAAGCACAAGAAACGCATAGAGATGGTGTTCATTCTTCAATCTTGTTCTTGTTAAAATCTCAATTAACTGAAATATAGAAAATATACTTAAAAAAACAATGATCTCAAACGATAAACAATAAAAATCATAACTTAAATTACATTTTGGAAATTAATTAAATTGATTAAAATTTAAAATTAATTACCTTGTGGATCATGATTACGTGAAAATATAAAGATATTTTAAGGAAGAAAGTTATAAATTGACGAATCGATTGAAACATATCCGATGTCATTTATTTATCTTCATTTTGCGTCAGTAATTTTGGCTAAAATTGCCGGTATTATACGAGATATAAAGGGCCACTGGTCTATAAAAATAGATAGGTCATTGCTTAGAAATAACAGCATTTGTTTCGTTCCGACTTAAACGCGCCTGTTAAAGTTCTTCAGAGTTAATTATTAGTTCCTATCCTCACCATCGCTAACAACCGCAACCGTCAGCGCCAAAATGGCGGTAATGAAGGAGGCACGAAATACCACAGTAATAGCCGATCTATGCATAAAGATTAGAATAAAGAGCGGTTATAATACTTTTTATTTATAAAAAAGGTTTTATATGCACCTCGTTTTTGATCCGTGATATAATAAATAAATGAACTTTTCTACAAACTCACTAAAACGGCCTTTCAGAATCTTTTTTTACTGATGTTTTATTCGTCTAAATTCGAATTTAACTGTTTTATATTTATATAGCATATTGTGGACATAGTTTTATTTAAACTTATTTGTCCGTTAGATTTGGTAATACACAAAAATATGCTCCAGGTGAGGCTCGAACTCACAACCCCGGCATAGCTCGGACACTGTCGTATAAGTACCGTGCGCTAACCAATTGCGCCACTGGAGCTGCGACGTCTCTTATCGAAATAAAGCATCTCATCACATCTTCTTTATCGCACACACTAAAAAAAGTCATACTATAACTACGGCTGCTTTTAAAACTAAATTCTATATTTTTTACCGCATGAACTTTACTTTCATCATATACATATAGGTGGTCCTATTCTATGTATATAGTTAACCAAGGATATCTGAACCTGTGAGAAGCATTGCTATTGCGGGTGGTTGTCAGAATATATATAAAACCTACTAATCCATAGAAAATGTCATAAAAACAAAAAAAGACATGACAGCTACAGTATATACAAAGATCTTGTCAGTTGTTGAGGTTGACTTGGGGGCGCTAGTGTGCTGGCATAATTTAGTTTGATTTATGGTCACCGGATCGGTTATCTCTGTCGGTCTGTAGCTTAAGTAATACAGACTAAATCTTTGAGGGAATTTTCTTTCTAATTCATGTCAGATATTTTTCAGGCAAAATGAATAGTAAATAAACACGTTTGATGTAGCATTATTTATTATGGTTAAATGAAATGATCAATATACAATTTATTAACAATATTCACATACAAAAAATTAAAAATAATTTTACAATATTTAATTCATGAGCAAAGTAATATTTTACACTAGCAATTTAAAACTCGAATAAGCCGGAAACATTTTTTAATTCCAAATTAATATCGATTTTATTTTATGATACAATTAAAATGAAAGTTACACATCAATTTGAATTTAGTTACAAAAATACATAAATTACAAAATTTACAACATAAATTAGAATATTTTTTTTCCAATTTTATCCACTTTATGCAAAAATAACTAACAAAAATATAAATATAAATTACGAAATGTCAAAACAATTTCGCGCCATTTTCTAAACAGACGTCAAATGTCAACTTAGATTTTTTTTAAATAGGATGCAATTGCTTTTATTATAAAGGAGAAAAAAATATTAAATGCACGTAAAAATCAGGCACAAACAATAATATATACAAAATATGGTACAATATTTAAACAGAACTTTTTTTTATATTACACTTAATTGCAAACAATGGATGAATATGGCAAATGGACCAAAGAATATGCCTTTAGATTAATAGATTACAAAGTATTGCTTTTAAAAATATTAAATACGACTCTTAACATATGTGGTATAAGCAGATATCATGATATTTTCACAACTCAAAATTTTACTTGGTAAGAACAAAATTTTAAATTATTCAAACTTTCGTGAGATATTATAATAAACTTATAAAAAAACGGCTAAACACATCGGTGGCTTTTTTATATAAGTTTAGAACAAAATTTTCTTGAATAAATCTTTTAAATTCTAATGATACGAAAAATAAAAAAATATGGACTAAACAAGAAATATGTTATCGAGTACTCAATATACATACAAAATAGCCTATTTACTTGTGAACGCAAAATAAAACATTTTTAATAGTATAGCAATATAAATGCTCCTGCATTTATTGTTTGATACTAAAGTTTAATGTTCACAAAGACAAACTGACTTTTTTATTTTAGTAATTGTCAACTCTGTGTATGATTACTCTGTGGTAAATTTTTTACGAATATAGTCTACCATTAAATAATTTATTCTAGAAAAAAAAATTGACTTATATTCATGTTATGAATATATATAAATGCAATTAAAAAGACATAATTAATGAATGAATAATGTCGTTAACAATGCAAATATAATAAAACTAAAGTGCTTCTATTAGTCCTTTATAGCGTATCGTTTTTAGTGCTTAATTCCACTGAATAATTGGTCCGACTTAATTACGGCCACGCCAGTGGAAATGATATTTAAGGCGAATATCAAAGATTATTATGAGGTAGTGTGACAGATAAGATAGAAAAGGACAGAAAAGTACTATAAAGAAATATATTAATAGCTAACATAATAATGTCAAAATGGTACTTTAATATTTGACAAATCGATTAGTTATTAAATAAACCATTTTGACATCATTGAAGTAAAAGAATTAAGGGCCCTTTTATTATTCAATATAACAAAATATATCACATACAGATACTACGACCATCTTTATAGACATAGTTGGATAGGCCGTTCCTTCGGAATGACATTGCATCGTTCCAAATATCCCAAATTCTCTTATTAGTTCAAATTCCCAACACCGCTACCAATAGCGCCGTAATAGCAAATAGGCACAAAATACTAACGCCTTTAACCTGTCCTGAGGAATATAGTTAATGTCTACGACCGATAAATTCAAGACTTTATTTTGACATCACATATAAATCCTCTAACTCATTTCACAAACAATCCTGTAATTCTATTTTACAATATTTGTATATCACATATCTTTAAGGACGTGCTTCAATATGGCGCTCTCGCTTGTCCTTGTCTGTGTGACTCCTGTCTCCAGTTGTCCGAGGTTCACAACCCTGGGCTCTGATTCAGTGGAGCCCTGTGATACAGCATCACTGTCCAGATTTTGGAATAATACGTTATTCGAACCAGTCGAAGGATTTCTTCTGTGGCCAGGATCTATGATTGGGTTTGGACCTGAGGAGATTAAATATAAACTAGCAAATGGGAGAATAATGAGATATAATGGTTACATTTAAGAACTGTATCGCGTGTCACTCAGAATCATTTAATGATCACTAAGGAAGGCTCTTAGTGTAGACTTATCTCTGTAAATCTAAATTAAGATCAAAACTCACCCATTGTGGAACTTCTTCTAGATGTAGGCGTTGTACTTCTCGATTGTGCTAGATTCATGATCGGCAATTGCGGTCGAGGTTTCGATTCGTTTTGTAGAAATTTGACGAATTCTGCTGCCAGACTGTCAGTTGTCGTCGTGGACCTAACAAGACCTAGCTTTTCACATTCTTGCTGGTTGAAGTCTAGCACTGTTGATAGAATGCGCAAGACCTGGGTTCTGGAAATATATAAAATATAATTATATAAATACACTCCCCAAAGATTATTTTTTTTATAGTAGTTGGTGGCAAACGCCATCTTTTCCTGACTAGAAAAAGGGCGGGTAGAAAAAAGGGACCTAAATTTGGCATCTAGCACTAACTCGTTTATTAAACGGTGATTTATGGTGAATATAGTTACTCACTTGTTGATAACGCTGTTAGCGCCAGTCACCACGTAGTTAATGATCAGGTTCTTGACCAAGTTCTTGTCAACCTTGTCCTGCTGGTTTGATACAGCGTTGTAATAACGCTGCTCCGCCATCGCAACTGACGTCTGCAGGAGTCTCACTGAGGAAATTGTGTAAGAGAATTTTTGCATATTAATTAACATTTCCTCAACATGTAAAGTTAAAATTATTGATTATTTCTGTCTGTTTTATTCGGATAGAAAGATATCTTTTATTTAAAAAATTATGAATGTTTTATGTGACACATATTATTTCATCTGGATTTTTTTTATTTTATTATAGAAGCATATTCAATTAAACACTTTGTCTATTTACAAATGTAACTACTCTATAATGTACACATTTATAATACAAATGAAATATCAAAAGTGAATTACGCAAGCCAAATGGCAAAACAAAAAAATTAAATTACATATTACGTCTACAATCTACTCTTACCATGCGCACACTACATCTGCGTTGATACTGGATCATACAGCACGATGAAAACGCAAACACGACCTCAAAGTATTATTCAGCCACTGGGAGGGGAACTGCTGACGTCACCACTGACGGTAGTCATAAAAATGGTACAACAACAGTCAATAGCTTCGATTGTTTGGTCAGAACTCTAGATTCAAACATCGAAGTACTCACACTGGTTAAATCAAATGACACTGCGAAAACGTGTAGGAAATAGGAAACGTAGGGTAAAGGAAGAGTCATAACAATATTTATCGAAGTAGAAGATGAACCAGAGAATTTTATTTTCGACCAAACAATGAATTGTTTAGAATTTCTGAATAAAAGTTTTTAAATACCGTAAGAGACAACGTAGCCGATTCCATTTTCCAATTCCACCAGTACCTGAAGTAATACTCAGAGGCAATGATGCTACACTGAAGGCTTCTGCTACTTTACTTATAAAGGAGATTAAAAAATAAACATAAAACATTTGACATTGTAATAATATCGATAGTGGCAAAGTATAGAAAATTAATGTGTTCTTTAATAACTTAAGGAATGTCGATATTTAAAATTACAACGGTCAAATTTTCAACTACGATAACATAAAAACAAAAAATATGTGCTGCAAGACTATACAAAACAGGTGTGTAAGATGAAAACTATGCTAAGTCAATATTTTTACTTTTATTATAAGCCAGATACATTTATCCTTTATCATAAAGTATGTCATTGAAATGTAAAAATATTGACCAGTAAAAAGTACAATAAAGCAAAATAAAATCATATACACAGGACGTCACGGCGTGCAGCCAAAACTGCAGTCAAACCCCACATGGTAATCTGAGTCCATCGCGGCACTGTCTACCAACATGACATTTGACACAGTAATGGGCCAGGTCAGTAACGGCCGCGATGTGATAAAGCCTCACAGTTACCAAATGAGATTAGACTGAAGTAGGCAAAAGCTTCTTGGTGATAGTACTAGATTTATAAACATTAAAAATTACATTTGTAAAAAAAAATAATCAAATAAATTTAAGCAACATTTAAAAAAAATCATGAATCACAAAAAAATGAAGTTACAGTTTCAACAACTTTAGAAATTCTAAATAAAAACTTGTCACAAAAAAAAGCAAAATCAACAAAACAAATACTACAAGACACACGTAAAAGCCAACACTAACAATTGACAAAGTACAAAATTAAAGCGAACTAATGAAAAAACTTACGTGTGTCTATCGAGTTCCTAAGTTTGAAGATAATTCGACATCTAACTGTATACCAACTGATAGCCTGGGGGCAACAACCCCAGAATTACCAGCTGATATTTAGCCAGAAGCCGAAAATGCTAAAGTATTCACACTACATACTATATTTAAAAAAAAAAACAACATTCTTAATATGACAAAAAAAATGACAAACATACAATAACTTCTATGCCAAATCTTATACATTTGTAATAGTTCAGTGCATATATTACTAAATATCTAAATCTGTCAACAAATTATTTACACATTAAAAAAACACATTGCTTGTAAATTAACATGAAAATCTAGACTTACCTTGTTCTTTCAAATCATTTATCTGTGCAGCTTTCGATTCGACTTGATCTCCCAATCTTGAGGCCGCCTGTAATCCTGCCAACGACTCGTCCAACTTTGAATTCAATATCGCTATTTCTTCTTTTTGTTTATTGTTTTGATATTTCATATCATCCAATTTCTTCTGTAACTTCTCCGTAGCAGCGGCTATATCTCTTTCCTTTTCTGTAATTTAATATTTTGTCTTTTACTAGTACAAAGCTGGCTTGTCGACAAGTTCACTTACAAAATAATCATACATACAAAATAGTATAATAATAAATCTACAATTGAAGGAGACGTAAATTAATAGAAATATTTGATTTATTTGATTTTTAAGAAGTCTGAGATATAAATACCTAATTGGAACTGCTCTAGTACAACTTGGAGATTAGCCAGAGAGGCTTCACTTCTGATTCTAGTATCTTCAGCGTCACTCAACTTGGCTTGAACTTCTTCCCTTTGTTTTTCCAACAGTTTTATTTGGTTTTTATATGTTTCAACTTCTTGATTAGCTCGGATGCTGAAAATAAATGTATTGATTAGTTTTTTTGATTATAGCTTACAAATATAATTTAGTGTAAATGTTTTTATACCTATTGCTAGTATAAACGGTGCAGGAATGTTTCGCCTTTTCTTCCACTTGTTGCAATCTCATCTGACATTCTGCCAGCTTTTGTTCTGACGTCATTAAATCTTGCGTGTAGTTTTCTTCCATCTCCATTAAATGTTCTCTCAAACGTTCCAATTCCTTTGATGAATTCTGTTCTTCTTCTAACAACTGAAAGTATAATGATATAATAAGATATGATATAATGAATAAAAATTTAAGTAATACTGTTTTTGGTAAGAAATAAAAATACGAATTTTAATCACCTGCGCATTTTCTGTAGTCAATTTCTTTATAATTTCTTGTTGATTCGTTAGACTACTGTCTAAATCCTCGCACCTTTTGGTCAAGTTTTTAATAGTTTCTCCCGCATTGGTTAGATCTGCTTTAAGTTTTTCTTTATCTTGTATTTTTTCATTCAAATTAGCAATCATTTCGTCTTTTTCTTTAAGAGACGTTTTAATGTTATCACAATTTGTACAGTTCGTAGATTTATTCTGCACGATTGCATCCATTTCTTGTACTATTTTTTTCTGTTTCTCGGTTTGTTCCAATATGACAAGGTTCAATCTTTGAATTTCATTGTGATACTGTAAGCTTTCGTTATGCTTCAAATTAATTAGATTAATAAGACTCGCTTTCTCAATCTGTGATTGTTCCACAATGTTTTGATATTCGACATGTGCTTTTTCAAATTGTTCCATTTTATGTTCCAAGTCATTAATTTCTTTATGCTTATTTTCAAGTTGTTGGTTCAATTCGTAACTTAGTTTACCAATTGCTGTTAATTGGTCAATCAATTTTTTATATTCGTCATTTTGGTGAGTTGTATCAATTGTTGTCAATTTCTCAGTAAGCTCCGTAAGTGATTGGTTTAATTGTTTAATTTGTTTTTCTTTCTTTTCAACTATGGATTTGTAGTCTTGATTCGTCTTTTCTAATTTTTCAATACGATCTGACAACATGGCTATAGCTGAGTTCTTATGGTTAACTTCGTCATTTAACGCGTACAACTGTTTGTCGATCTCTTCCTTCTTCACATGTAATGAACTTAACTCGTCTTGGTTTCGATTTAAGTTGTCATTCGTCTTACTTAGCTTGTCATTTAACTTTTTATATTCCGTGTTTAAGGCTTCTATTTCTAGGGCCTTTGATGATATATTTTTTTGCAATTTTTCTATAGTCCCTTCGTTAGTGCGAAGTTTATCAATTGTGACATCCTTTTCGTTGAGATCCGACACCAATTTTCCTAATTCTTCTTCAAGATTAGATATTTTGTTGTTGGCGGCAAAAAGGTCCGTTTCTAGAGTATCCTTCAAACGTAAAAGTCTGTCATTCTCTTCTTTAAGAGCAACTACATCTTTGCTAATCATTTTAAATTGTTTGACTACATTTTCAGTTTCCGATATTGATTTCTCGAGTGATACGATTTTTTGCATCTGAGATTTAGCATCATTTCTAAGAGTAGCATTTTCAGCTAACAGTTCCGTCATGCTTGTGTTTAATGTTTTTAAATTACCATTTAATTCATCGATTCTTGTTGTTAAAGTCAAGTTTTCTGACATTAAGTCATCAACTGTACTTTTATTATCAATATCCGTTGAGCAAGTCTCCTCAGTAGTGGTGACTGGTTTATCGAACTTGCCTTCAAATTCCTTAATCTTCTTCATTAGTTCTGATACGTTGGACTTTAGATTGCTATTCTCGATTTCTATTTTTTTAATCTCTCCTAATCTTAATTGTAAATTATTTTTAAGATCGTCTATTTCTTTTGTGAGCAAAACTTTATCGTTTTCTAAAATGTGTTTGTCTATTGCACTTTGCTCATTTTTAGCAGTAAGCGCGTTCAATTTCTTCTTCAATGCATCAATTTCATCAACAAGTTTTTCATTGTTCATAACATTTGAACTATTTTCTAATTCCGCCATATTATTAGTCTGAGTCTTGCACAAATCTAGTTCATTTAGCATCGATGTATATTTTTGTTTCAAATCATTTAAACTTTCTTGTAATTTGGTCTTCTCTGTTTTAACTTCTACTAATTCTTTTTCTATCCTTCTTATTTCTGATTCAAACGTTTTGTTCATTCTAGTAGAGTCAGCCAACTCAGTTTCTAGTTTAGTGTAATTATCTTCATGTGTTTCTATGATTGGTTCGAGTTTAGAAGAATTCTTTAAGGCCGTTATTTCCGAAAGAAGGAAATCATTATTTTTCTTCATTTCATCTAACTCTCTTTCGTAATGTTGCAAGTCTGTGGTCAGGAAATCATTTTCAGTTGTCATATCGTCAATTTGTGTTTGCAATTGACTTATGTTACGATTCTTTTCAGATAATAATTGTCCTAGCATATCGATTTCTTTTTTAAATGAGTTGACAGTTTTAAATACACTTTCGATTTTAAATATCACAAGATTATCATCAGAGGGCATTTCTCCCACGTAGTCAATAGGTAATTCAAAGTTTACGTACCTATTATAAAGTTGTATGATTTTATCAGCTTTTACAACTTTAGTATCTGATTTATCCGGACAATGGATTTCTTGTTCAGCTAATTTATGTTTCAAATCATGGATATCTCGTTTCAAAGTTTCTATTACAACTTTGGCATTATCATCAATATTTATTTCGTCTGGATGTAATTCATTGGAACTTTTTCTTTCTTTTAAACCGTTGTATTGCATCAATAATTCTTCATATTTTTCTTTAGAAACGGTGCCAGTAGTCTCCGGTTCATGAAAATGTAGTTCAGCGTCGTGTTCCAATCTGGTAACTTGTTCTTGTAACTTGAAAATTTCTTCATGTAAATCTTGGTTTTCTTCTTGAAATTTCTCCGCATTTTCTTTTAATAACATATGTATCCTTTCTAGATTTTGATACTTATGTGCCAAAGTATCATAATCGGTACAAAACTGTTTTAACCGAGCAATTTCTTTATCACGTTCATTTATTTTAAAAATCAAACCTTTGACTTCATTTGCGTATTCCTCATTTGCATTTTTTAGATCTGCGTGTTCTTTTTTAAGGACCTCAAAGTTATGTTGCAAGTCTCTCTTCAAAGTTAGAAGTTTGTCCATGGCCTGGCGATGCTGACTATCTAAATCCTCCAAGTTTTTGATGAGATTATTATTCTCTTCTTTAAGACGTAACACTTCATTAGGATGTTCCGATTCCTTTCTATCTCTACGCTGTTTCATGGCGGATAGTTCTTCTTGTAGCGTGCGTATGTGCATTTTGTATTGATTTTCAACATCATGGTCAATGGGTTCAGTTGACTGCGACGGTGGGTCCCAATACCATGTGGTTTCTTCTTCTCTGAAGCCATTCTTCTTGGATACTCTCTGGAAAGAAAAAGAAATGGCTATAAAAGATGTCATATGATAAAACGATACTTCAAGTAATCATTGAATAATCTTATCTTACTTTTAAATTTGATATTAAGTAAAAGATACTTGAGATATTACTGAATATATTTGATTTTTAAGTAATACAATATTAACAGCGATAAATTCTAGATAATTTTCTTGAGTTACTGTGAACTTTATTTCCTTTTACAAGTTTGTATGTCAGTGAAGATACACCTTATGTTAAAATAGTCGCCATTTTATCTTTATCCACTAATGCAATATGTTAAGCAAATATAACGAAACCTCGTAAGGCAGTGTATAATTAGGTGGTAGGGGTCATATACAGTGTGGCACGCAAGTTAAAGCGGTCTGTACTTTACTTGTATAATATTATATACTATATGCGATGCGGTGTGCTGTTCACCGATGCGAGTGTCTGTTCAAACAAGATACGTTATCAGGTCGCTTTTTAATGCCTCTACGAGTAAGGCACAACGTATGGGTAAAGTTAAGTGAAGCGTGTGACTGAAACATGTTGAACAGATACAAAATTACACAGACCATGTATAAATTATTAGTTATCCTCACGAAGGACCATTTTCGGCAACTCAATACTTCGTGTTAAAATTGTTTTCTATATTTATTCGTTAATTTTACCTTCGACAAAACTATTATAGATAAAGTATAGACGTTTAATTACAATTCTTAATGAGTCTCTCACAAGATAGTGTGTAGGTTCGTTCCACTGAGCGCGCAAGAGGACAAGGTCGATATGCGGGTACTATTAACCTCGCTGGCATAGCACATGCAATCAAACGTGCACACATTGTATGTCATCCCATGTAATACTGGCAACTAGTAATTATTAAAAAAGAAAAAGTTAGTAGCACCACATATCCTTATAAAATACCGGGACAATTGACACCTTATAATGTTCCCGTACATACTTTCTAAAATACCCTACATTCAGGCAAAAATAAATACAATTTACCTAAAGTTTCGGTAAACTTCCACATGTAACCCAACCTTTAGATCGATATGCCTATCTTAATGACTTACCACGACTAATTAGTAAGTTAAACGAGTGTAGGCAGTAACTAGTCTTTCGTTTCCTCTTTAACAAGTGAGGCGTGAAAACGATAACATTCGCGATGTCATTTACATGTTACATATTCAAGTAAATAAATATATTATATACCAAATGAAACAGAGTTAAAACAAGTTCAATCGAAATTGTCTTGTAATCGGATGCATGTTTTAAAGTGAATGTTTCACCAATGTGAACTGCTATGAAGTCATTAAATCGTCATTTGTAATGGATCGTGTTATCGTAATGTACGAAACATGTTTCAGTTATCTTATCACACAATTGCAATGATTATAATCTTGTCACAACCTCTTACTCTATTAGTAACATGGTCTTAAAGGATTTTTGTGTCAACGTCGGCTTGTAGTCAACGCTATAAGACTGATTTAGAGTTATAAAACTTTTCTACGCTCACCAAAGACTAGATTTATCTATCAAACACATTATTCATTTGATGAAACAGAGAATCAGCACATACTGGAAGGTTTATTATTGCTATAGACTTTAAAATACTTACTATTATATATATAATATTTTATCACTAACTAGCTGTCGCCCGCGACTCCGAGCGTGTGGATATATAAAAAACTTAATTAGTGCAGCCCACCCATCCATCTAAACATTCGCATTTATAATATTAGTAAGTTAGACAAAGAATAAATAGTATCCTATGTCCGTCTCCTGGCTCTAAGGTACCTCCTCAACAATTTTCAGGCATATCGGTAAAGCCGTTCTTGAGTTATAAATAGTGTAACTAACACGACTTTCTTTTATATATATATAGATTATGAGTTAAAGTTTAGGGCTTTGGTTACCATCAATAGCACACTAAGCCTGCATACGTACGGGCGTTTTTTTTATGCCGCGTTCAATCTCTGCGTTGGCGTCTCTTAAGTGATGAAAGCTTAACGATAACTCTTGTTTCCTTTGCTCAGTGCTTAAAATGCAACTACGCGATGAAAAAGCGTTGCGTTTTTAAAGCGTTACCGTATAAATATACATAGAAATGCAATTGTTCTATTTGATCGCGTTTGAGCGTAAAATAAGCGCCCGTCCGCATACCAAACGTAACAAGCCAAAGAATTAAAATACCAAGTCTATTCTTAGGAAACATGTATGCGGGGTCTACACGAAGCGTTGTCGGTGTTTGTATAACATAGTTAAGGATTAAGATACGTTATCAGTGAACATTATCAGGCATTAGGCCCCGCTGTGACTGGAGTTAACTCCAAACCGGAGTCAAACGAAATAACGGGATATATGTATACTAGGAATATTTCAACTATTGTCATTTGTATTTGCAGTTTTAGAGTTATACAGTTTTCACTTGGAGCCACACTTAGGGTTGCTATATCACAGACGTTAATCCAAGCATATGGATTGTTTAATTCAAACATCACTCGTGTTTAGTCGTCTAGTCTTCGGACCAGTCAAAAAGACCACGGCTGGAATAGTTAAATTTTTTACGACAAGACCTTACGCTTACTTTTACGAATGCCTTTTATGTTTATTTCTCTTAAAAAACATTTACGTCTATATAAAATCTAACTAATATTATAAATGCGAATGTTTGTTAGAATGTATCTCCAGAACGTCTGAACGGATAATGATGAGATTTGGCATACATATAGAACATAATCTAAAAGAACACTTAGGCTACCAATTATGTTTTTTTTACGCGCGGACGGAGTCGCGGGCGGCAGTTAGTTCTTAATAAATTATTCAATAGGAAGTGTAACAGTTGAACAACGTTAGTTCATTAGTATTGTGTTATTTATATCGATCAAATATTATTACGTTCCTACGGAGACCTGAACGTGCGGGTACAATGGTTCGTAAACTCTAGGCTCCTATACCTTATAGCTTTGTATCTTGCTTGTATTTATATGTTGTTATATGTATTAGTGATACAAAAGAATTATGATATAATTTTTTATATGCTTGATGATAAATCTACACTAAAGAAAGACCTTAGTGTGCAATAAAATCTAAATTTTGCAATAAATATTTAATTACATTGCGATATCTTTCTAATCTTACTAATATAAATGAGAATGTTTAGATGGATGGATGTATGTTTGTTTGAACGTATCTCCGGAACGGCTCAACGGATCTTGATGAAATTAGGTACAGAAGATTTTTTTAATTGCGCGCGGACGGAGTCGCGGTGGTCTAGAATATACCGGAGAACGATGAAATGAGAAAAAAAACGTAACCTTAAAGATGATAAATATTACGCTGATATTCCTGATATTTTATGCAAAAAAATTATTAAACATTCAACTAAATTAAACAAAAAAAATCTTATAAACATATAGAGAAATATGCAGATCATTAGCACAGATAAGTTAAACACAGAGGCGACACTAACGCCCCCAGCCTTGGCCGCTTTGCGACCGCTTATACAATCGTCATAATCATCATTGACAGCCAATAAAGCTGGTACACACTAGCATGTTCAATACTAGATGCAATAGATTTATATAGCTGTCGCCCGCGCGGAATTAAAAAATTATAAGAAGCCTTTGACTTCTTTCAGATTATGTTCTATATGTACGCCAAATTTCTGCGACATCCGTCCATATAAACATTCGCATTTATAATATTAGCAAGAGTAAGAATTAATATTATAACAGTGGTAGATGCCAGCAACAACATCTATTGAATTGCCCGGTGCAATACCACGACCATACAGAAGACAGGCGTCAAGCGAAAACAATTCCGTGTTTCGTCTGATAAGTGCATGCTGAAGGTCTAATTTTAGTTATCTTGACTTCCCACCCTTTTCTTATAGTGAAAAGTTGGTTAGGAATGTGGATGACCGAGGAGGAGACTTTTAGGGAGAGGAAATAAACTCTTTCTGTACGTGTATATGGGGATAGTAGGGGTACTTTGTCGATTAAAAGTATATAAAGCATCTGATTTGCGGATGCCTATGAGCGCCTGCTCTTTTACCACCTTATCGTATAATTTTTTTTATCGAAATGCTTCAAGAAGATTCGCACTTGTGACTATAGTTTGTATAAAAAAAACGTCTTTTAATTACGTGTCGATAAGTAAATATCTTCAATAGTGTAGCACTTGTGTACATTCCCTAACAATTCATAATTACATACCGGCTATTCTTAATTACATGCACATGAATTAGCCTCAAGATTATGTAGTTTTTCTAACGAAGGTATTGCGAGACGACGAATCGGAATATGTTTTAAATTGCCAACTATTTTTCTGGACAACGATTATTAGTAAATACTAATTTTTAAACTAGTTGCAAAAGTTTCTACTGGAATTAAATTTTTATTGAATTTTACTAGAAATTACAGATAATTTATAAATATAATAAAAAGTGTACAAAAAGGTTAAATATAAGTAGTTGATTACATATTTTAAACAATATATTAAACAAAGGTTCGTCATAATTACAGCTGCAAATTCAATTATTAATATGCTAATTATAATACGTCAAAGAATGGTATAAATTAAATACTTTACCTCCTTATATTCCATAAAAGGAAATGACGCAATTGCAAAATGTATCAGTTGCAAAACTGTTGCCAACATTAAAATCATTTTGTTTTTTAAATGTCCACCGTCTTACAAATTCTGTTCCTTTTGTATCGCACCTTATACCAAACATTAATTGAATAAAACACTACGCAAAGTCACAGTTTCCTTCAATTTATTATTATTTCAATCACTTTAATTATTCCAAAACACTGAAACACTTATTGCAATTTCCGAACGCAAAGGATAATTAAAAAATATAAAACAATATAGAATGACAGCGAGTAGGCAAAGGCTCAGGAACCATTCAGCCAGTTATGTCATTATTTTGTTCGTAATCACAACACGCTTTCATAATCGCTTTTGTTTTCAATATTTCCGTACACAATAAACTATTGGAAGT